TTTTTTTTTTTTTTTTTTTCTTTCGTGTGTGATGTTACAGGAAAATATTCATATTTAATGTAAAGTTATTATTCAAATTATTAAAAATAATTATTCATTTAATAGTTAATTATTCCTTTGTTAGAGGGAAATATTTATATACTCATTCAAAATCGTTTGTATGTTTCCAGCTTAAATAATTTAAAATTATCTTTCCGTTATTACAGGAGAATATTTGTATAATATTTAGAGCCGGCGATTCTGTGTGATAATAATTTCGATTTAAAGATTACTTCGTATTTTATGATCATACAGAGACACAAAAATGTTTTTCGGCAGAAAAACTAGCTGCATCTTTTTTTTATTTATCGAAAAGGAAAATAGTTTTGTTTTACTGCGGCACACTCTAAATATTACTTTCTCGTGTAATCACTCGCCATTTGAATGTCGATCACTCATTGATCGAGATTGCCCCCGAGCAATTTTCGCCTTCTCACGTAATCAATTGCCATTCGGATACCAATCACTTGGAAAATCATTAACTAAAACTCGCCGTGAGCAACAATAGTAAATTCGACAGGTAGCACGCGTAATAAAGATAAAACCAACGCGATCATACGTCACCAGAAAATGGACAGTGTGCGCACTGTCAATTCCCTTATCAAAACGGATAGTTTCGTTAAAGCCATTATTCACTCGCAATAATTCATCGCGTGACGATAACACCGTATTCAAGGATGATTATACGATAGTCAAGAAGAGGTGAGATGCAGTGATTACGCGTGTTACTGTTTGACGTATGATTGATTATTTCACCAACGACAGCTCGTCGACCTTATTTTTCGCGCAAGCAGAAAATACATTCGACTGAAATGAATACTTCACGTATGTACATACGCTGTCGAAATCCCGCTACAGGATATATCACAGCGAGGCCATCAACGATTCGTTTTAGTCAGGAAGAATGAAAAAAAAAAAAAAAAAAACATCGGCGATCGAGGGTGGATTCTCTATTCTCTCGATTCGTTACATAACCCAGCTTTTAAGCCAGGCGCTCACGTGGTTGACAGATCAGAATTGTTCGAAATCACTAAACATCGATTTACCATTGTTTTGTCTATGATCGAAAGACAAAGCTTTTACAAAGTAAACTCTTCTTGTTAGATTCAGATAGCTTCTTCCAGAAATATTATTTTATTCACTGCCACACGTAGAAAATAGGTATTACACATAAAAATTACCGCGATTCTAAACAAAAAAACTTTTCATACGCGTGTAAAATTCGTAAAATTGATCAGAAGCCCTTATCGATAGAAGCAAAATGAAAAGTGAAATTAAAAGTAAAACAGCTTTTGACAGCTGTCATATGAAAATGTCGCTCTCGGCGACCGAACATCGGTAATTTCAGATAAATTAATAATTAAATACTAACACTGTGATCGTGCTAACACTGGAGTCGCGCGATCGGGACACTCGACGTTGTGACGAAGATTCGACCGGTGGAATCAGGCGACCGAGCTTCTGCATAGATATACAGTTGCAAAGACAACCGATCGACGATAACGTCGTTACGGAGCCAGTCGATAATTAGAGTCGAAGACACCGTGAAACTCGGTGGGACCCGGGACACTGGTGTACCAGCCAGGGCAGCTTAATATTGACGCCGGCCGGATCTAAGAGCGAAGTTTCCTCTCTTCTCCGAGGGATTTTCTCAGCTTTAGAATATATAGTACAGTGCGCCGCTGTGTAAACGATCGTCGTGCCTCTGCACACCATATTAATAGGGCCATCTTCATGGGCAGCTTAATATCGGATACGCCTAGACGGTCCTTAGAAGCAGAAACGATTTATGACCACCGCCGCTGGAGGATTTGTAAATAGAATCCTCCACCCACACCCCGTGTAGGGGGAGGACAAGCACGTGCTCCGCATAAGTCCACCGTCCGAAGAATACGCGGAGGATTTCTCGGCAATTGACGCGACAGCAAGTGGGATCTGTTCTTAGCGATTTCGTTCGGCGCGAAGAAATTGAAAAAATTACGATTACGCTCGCGCTGTAGTTCGGCTGAAAGCTAAATTTAGCTTCACGTATGATTGCGAACGATCGAACGATCGACAGAATTAAACAAAGGGAAGTTAAGTATATATCGAATTTATAAGGTATGATATTTCGAACTTCTGACAGAGCGTGACTTTAATCAATGAAAATTCAAATTACATGCGAATCAACGATTAAAGAGTATACACGTTTCAATATCACGTTCCTCTAACATTATTCCCGACGAGATAAAATCCCGACTGTGGAGAAAGTATTTCATACGTGTAACATTCAAATAAAATGTGAATTAAATGGAAAAAGAGACGGAAGTGTGAAAAATTTAACATATGCGCATTCAGTCGATTGTGTTCAATTTGTTTGGCTCGTTTCAAATATTATCAGAATATTTTATACACGTTAAAAAGGCAATTCAATTGTAAACCATACTCGAGAATCCACCACTTGAATGTTTAATAATTCGCAATGCGATCGATCGGTTCATTACAGAATTCACTTTCGTTCTCGTTGAAGGTAAAATAGGGAGACAGCAAACCACTACGATTTCCTTTCCTTAGGATCGCGAGTAGCTTCAAAAAAAGCAAAAGAGAGAGAGAAAGAGAGAGAAATATTGTCGTACATCAACGTTATCGTTAACTTTAAGAGTTAGTCGTGGACATCCGTCTCCTAGCAGTAGATATTCAAACGTTTCCTCCGACAAATCTATAGTGATTTCCCCTGTTTTCATTCCCTGTTTATTATTCATCTGTGGACCTCGACCGTTTCTTATCTATCACAGAGCATGAACAAACCTTTACCCCGCAATCACTTTATTTTTCTGAAACTTTTCCCACTCGCACTCGTTTTCAGAAATACGTCAGAAGTTTCTCGATTCGTCGCCTCTTCGGCAAGTGCTTAACAACTTTACAAATCGAAAACTCCAAGTTTATTATTAATCCTTTTAGCGCCAACAAGGATGAAGTGAAATAAGTTAAGGTAAGGAAAAAGTGGCAAAAATTTAATTTTATACGATAATTGGAAAATTGAAAAAAAATGACATCGTGTTTAAAAGTCTCTAACATATATATATTCATTAATTGATAATAATTTATGAGAAGATCAAAACTATAGAAATTACAGAATATATATACAAGACATATAAAAATATTGTAAAGTGTTTATTATAATAATTAATAAGTAAAAAAAAATTTTTATTTAGACCTCATTCTTTTAATTATATCGTATAATTATACAAGATGGATCGTGTAACTTGATTACCTTGAATATTCCATTATTTTTGGAGAACAAATTTTATTAATAAAAATTGTTTAATATAAGTGAGACTACCATAATACGAGAATAATAGTTTTTTTTTTATAAATGGAAAAGTTAAAAGTTATTTCAAGTTCACGCTACTAAAGTTGAAAGAATACTAGTTTCGGAGATATTTTTACCTTTTCTATGGATGAAGACAACGCAATGCCCCTGACTTTTTTCATGTTTCATACGACAAATTAACACATATGTATACATAAGTCAATACTCTTTTCATAAAGAACCTCGAGTTGCATCAATTAATGAAGCAGAAAATATATCGTTCCATTAAAAAAAAAAAAAAAAAAAAATAGGGGTAAAAAGATAACCACCCACCAATAATGAAATTATAAAATTGAAAACTACTGATTATGAAATTATGAGATTACACGAAAAGATTCGCAAAAATGTCCAACAAAATTTAATACTTGCCATTTCAAACGTAACCGACTATTACTCGACTCGTTGTAAAGGGTTAATTACCAAACAGACTGAACTCCAACAACACGATTCGTCGCTGGCTTTCACGTCCAAGCGGGTGGATGAAAGATTCAGCTGGCAAAAAATTCACGAACGACGATCGCCCGAGTTCAGGAGGATCAGGCTCGTTTTCCTCGCGCGAGAAGGAATGAATCGTCGCGCACGTCGGTACGCGTGAACTTGCCATAATAACCGCAGAAATTTCCGCGCGACCGAAATCCTTGCCGCGTTCTCTGCGCAAGCGACGTGCATTGCCCAATTGTTTGCCCATGTTTCCGACAGTCTGTCTCGCCATGTCGGAAGTTCCCGCGGCTCCGTCGTACTTCGACGCATAATGCCCGTCAGCAGAAATTCTCCCGCATATTTGCATACATAATCGTGGCCTTGTATCGCGCCGGTCATCCTGGAGCCGGCACCGAGAATCGATCGAGCGACACACACCGTAATTACCGCACAAGCAACTTGTAAGAAACAACTGTCGACGCGACAGTCTGACAAATAATATATATACAGCGAGAAGAAGAAACGAATTATTTGACGAGAGATTGAGGGATTTTTATTGGGGGATTTAATTTGACATTAGAAAGATCGAGTTCGTTTTTCAGGATCTAAATTGTGAGATGAAAAGAAAGATATTTTGCAAGTAACTTTTTATATCTACGTTTCATTTTTAAAAAATATATAG